AATGGGAGCCTGTATGTGGTGTGATGTGAGCAATGCACCTCCCCTTCACTGGTATATTTGTTCCAGAATAACCAGTTACTTGTATTTATGTTGGTCCCAGTTTTGGTCTTATTTTCAGTCTCTCATAATCTTGTTCAAACAGAATAGTAACCTGAGCTCCTGCATCCAGTCTGAGTGGAATAATTGTTTCATTCAATTTCATAGGCAGTATCCAGTCCCTTCCATCCGGTTTGCTTGATCCCAGCATGTCTATGTAAAACTCCTCAATCAGGTTGTCTTCAACTGCAGGCACTTGACTTTTCTGCATTGGGGACATTATTTTCCCAACATTTATGACACAGTGTCCCAAATGCAAAATACTGGTTTGGGCCATGTTGTTCTCCACTCCTTACGCATAACCATCTGTACGCCATCTCCCCACCAGCAGTGGTTTTCATGGCAGGTGTTTCCACTTTTTGGTTTGACCTTTTCTGGCTATGTTCTTTTGTACTTAGTATGTGGATGAGCCCTTCTGGTGAATTTAGCTCTTTGGCTTGTGCTGGCACAGTTTCTGCTGCCCTGCATATCTGTCTCTCTCTCTTAGCACATTATCTTTAATGCCACAGATGATTCTATCTTTGATCAGACACCATCAGCTCACCAAAGTTACAGGTTTTACTGATTCGCCTTAATCATGTGACATATTGTTCTATGGTGGCATAAATTTTTGTTCATGCATGTAAAACAAATGTCTCTCTCAAAGCTCTCATTCCTTTTTGGCATGCAATGTTCCTCAGATTTAGTCAGAATTTTACTTAACTTCATGCTTTCACCTTCTTCAAACTTAAAGGTGTTATACATATCCAATGCTTCCTCCCTGAAAACATGCCAAAAAATAATGATTTCACTTTATTGTTTTTCTCCTCTGTGGCTGCTAAATACAATTCAAATCTCTGTCAGAATTTTTTCTTGTGTTCTGCAACACTGCCTGGCACTCACAAACTGGATGCAGGTTGCGACACATCTTCTCTTCTTAAGCTAGTCAACTATTGTGCTCATACAATACATAAAAAAGTGTTTGTTTCTTTTCTATTTGCCGCTCCGCCCGCTCCCATTTTCTCTGCTTTCAGTTTCAAACAAAGGAGTTAACCTCAAAATGTCCTCAATCTCTTTCTCATTCAGCACTTCTGATACCATAGAATGTTCTTGGGGATCATTAAACAACAAACCAGTGAATGAGAAAGGAATCAAACTTTTATTAAAACAAACCTGAGAGTATCTGTGGTGAACTGCTGTGCACAACTACACTGAGTTCTGCACCTGTGCTTCCAGGGGACTGCTCAGAAATTCCTATAGTCCTAATCCTGTCCCTCTGAGGGAGCCTCTGTAAATAATTATCTTCTGCAAACATATCTCTACACTTGCTGTCCCTGCAGTGGCAGGGAAAAGATTAGGTGAAATTCACCCAGCTGCCCTAGCAGGTGATCCACGCCCATGCTGCAGAGGAAGTTAAAAAAAAAAAAGATATTCACCTTCCTCATTACAAACTTGTCCCTGTTTTTAACTGAAAAAAGTTTGAAATTTGAAAAAAATTCACCCAGCCCTTCTAATCTCATTCAGACATGTTTTAAAAGCAGTGCATGGGGTTTAGGCTGGTATTTACAAAGGAACCTACGGGCTGTTTACTTTAGTTTAGAAGAGGGATAGAGTAGTTGTCCCATAAAGAGCAATAAACCTACAGCCCCACCCGCTCCCTTCCCCCCACACTGAGAAAGCTGCTTTCGATTTTCACTCCTCAGTTAATAGATAACTTTGGAAAAGCCAGCTCTGGCTTCACCAACAGCAATTACTCAGTCCCAGGGTTCAAAGGTAGCAGGCAGCCATAACCAGCGCCACCAGGTATGCAGAGTTACTGGACGGGACCGAGACCCAGATCTCCAGGTAGTACATTCTGCTTATTTAAAATTCAGCTGTATTTGGTAATATTCGGGGTGCTGCTCAGAGCCAGGCCAGCTCTGTGCTGCTGGGATTGCATTGCTCTATTCCGGAGTGAGGGTTAATTTTGGCATTTCCACTCGTCAGTCCCTCCCCTGGGAAAATCTTCCAGCTTTTTTTCTAGTCAAGAGGGTCAGTCCTCTAGTTCCTTTGTCTTTCTCTATCCACCTAACTGGGCCTGCCCTGTGCCAAGTATCAGTGTTTGCATGCCAGCCCAGAAAGATCACTGGAGATCAGCATAATACAGAGGTTCTCAAACTGTGGATCAGGACCCCAAAGTGGTTGTGACTGCATTTTTGTGGGGGGTCACCAGGGCTGGCTTAGATTTGCTGATGCTTAAGCACAAGCCCCACTGCCTGGGGCTGAAGCCTGAGGGCTTAAATCCTGGGTGGTGGGGCCTCCTGACTAGGGCTGAAGCCCTTGGTCTTCTGTAGGGTTACCATAGTTCGAGCCTCCAAAAGGAGGACACTCCACCGGACCCCGGACCCTGCCCCGCCCACGTCCACGCCCCAACTCCGCCCCTTCTTCAAAGTCCCCGCCCCAACTCCGCCCCCTCCCCTGCTTCCCACGAACATTTGATTCGCGGGAAGCCTGAAGCAGGTAAGGCGGTGTGGGGGGGGAGGAGGAGCGGCCCAGGCTGCTCCCCCCCGGCGTTTCCAGCCTGGGCCGGCCCCTGGCCGAGCACCCCCTGGCCCCGCCGGCCCCCGGACCCCCGGCCGAGCATCCCCTGGCCCACTCAGCACCCCCCAGCCCCGCCGGCCCCCCGGCCCGCTCAGCACCCCCCGGCCCGGCCCCCGATCCCCCGGCCGAGCACCCCCTGGCCCCGCCAGCCCCCAGACCCCCGGCCAAGCATCCCCCGGCCCGCTCAGCA